GGTCCTTCCCGCCGCCCGCGTAGCCCCGGCCCCGGGCTCCTTTTCCGTCTCCCACCCTCCTGCCCCCCGGCCCCTCACACCGCGTGGGGGCCGCGTGCTCTCCGCCAAATCACAGCCCGGGGCAGGTGTTCCCGCCGCGCCCATTTCACACGCGGAGAAACTGAGGCCGGGGGTGGAGTGAGGGATGAACTCACTGGCCTATGGCGGTCCGAAGCCATCCCCAAAACATTCCCGCACACCCACCCCACCCCCGCCCCATCAGGGTTTGGAAACACAGAACCACCACTGGGTTCCGACGGGGAAGCCCAGGAGGGTCAGGGATGCGTTCTGGCCACAGCTGTGCGGGTGCAGAGCGGCCAGAGCAGGGGCGAGGAGACCATTTCACAAAGGACTTGACATCCGAGCCCTTTAAAGCTTGAGTAGAATTCACCCGGAGGTGAGGCGGGTACAGGCCCTTAGGGTCAGTGCGCGACAGATCTACGACCTCTGCGACCTACAACTCAAAGGCTCTGGGTCACTGCTCCACACAACATACCCTGGTCGCTTAAGCAAACAAAAATATTGCCGTCCTCAGATCCTACTGGACGGCTTGTTCTCCCCCCTCCTTTCCCAGGCATCGTTCGTTTATTCATTTAATAAATACTTAGCACCTCTGTCACTTGCTGAGGACACAGAGAAGTAGGACATCCCACCCTGGACTCACACGGGAGACCAAGGTGTAAGCGACCACAATGCAGCGCTATCGGGGTGACAGGGTTGTTCAACTGGCCGCCTGAGGAGGGAGCTGGTCCCACGCGAGGCGGTGGGAGAGCTTCACAGAGGAGGCAACGTGTGCAGGTCCAAAGGGCGAAGAGAGGTTGTCTGGAAGGTGACAGGCAAGGGGGGGGATGGGCTTTCCTGGCAGGAGGTACCTGTGTGTACCAAGGTTTGCAGATGGAAAAGAGTTTGAGTTCCAGAAATAATGAAAAATCCCTTGTGGTTGGGGCTGTTAAGGGGATTTGCATATGATACTAAGAAATTTAGTCTGTCCTCGATGAAAATCCCATAGAAGCTTTTAAGGTGGCAATAAAAGTCATCTAGTGACAGAGTGAGGCCTTTTTCTTGCCTAAAATTTCCTTGGCTAGAACCTCCAGTATAATGTTAAACAGAAATGATAAGAGAGGACAACCTTGTCTTATTTCAGATTTTGGGAGGAAAGCTTTCATTCTTTCACCGTTAAGTATAATGTTAGTTCCTTTCTGTTCCTAGTTCACTGAGTGTTTTTATCTGTCAAATTCCTTTTCTGCATCTATTAAGGTAATATTGTGGCTTTTATCCTTTATTCTCTTAATAAAATCTGTTATAATGATTGATTTTTGTTTGTTGAGCCAACCTTGCATTCCTGGGATAAATCTTGTTCATATATTGCTGAATTCAGTTTATTAATATGTTGTGGAGAGTTTTTGTATTTATATTAATAAGGGGGTATTTGTAGTTTTCTTGTTATGTCTTTGTTTGGTTTTCGCATCAGGATAATACTGAACTCAAAGAATGAGTTGGGAAGTGTTTCTTCTTTGTCTATATTTTGGAAGAATTTGCAAAGGACTGGAGTTAATTCTTCTTTATATATAGGTGGAATGCACCATTGAAGCCATTTTGGCCTGGGCATTTCTTTGTGGGAAGTTTTTTGATAACTACTAATTCAATTCCTTTAGCATTTTAAAAAATATATCTTTACTGATTTCAGAGAGAGGAAAGAAGAGGGAGAGAGAGAGAGAGATGGAAATATCAATGATGAGAGAGTTATTGATTGGTTGCCTCCTGTACAACCCCCACTGGGAATCGAGCCCGCAACCTGGGCATGTGCCCCGACCAGGAATCAAACCTGCAAACTTGCCATACTGGGACAACACTCTAACCAACAAAGCTACCTGACCAGGACCTCAGTACAGTTTTTAAAGCTTTTTCAATGCTATTCAGATCCCAGTTGTGCACCAGCCAGGGGCCAATCTTGGATCTGGACAGTGGTCTATCCCATATCTCAGTACTAAAGTGTATTATATGCTTTTTAGCATCAAATCCATGCATGCACAGCTCAGGGCTGAGGCCAGAAATTATGGGGTTGCTCTCCTGAATTTATTTCCTCTCTGTGATCTCTCTGATACTTTTCAATCCTTTGAAACTCCCCTTTTTGGTCTCTGGCCCAAAACCTGAGGCTTCAGTTACCCTTCTCTGCTGTGTACTTCTGGTGATTGCATACGTCTAGGGCCAAGTGGCAGGAAAACAGAGGAAGAAAAAAAATCAGTGGGTGTTTGCCCCACCCTGTTGGGATTGCCGAAAGCAAAAATTACAGCATTATTTGATATGGCTTCAATGTATGTAAATGTAATACATAAGATAACTCAAAGTTTTAGGCAGCCATAGACCCTCCCTGCCACCATTGCCACTGAGGCCACCACAGCAGGATTGCCTGGGGGAGGAGTGCAGGACAACAGGGGACAAAGAGAGGAAAACATGGTATGTCCCTCCTCAATGTGAAGAGTCCCCATTCCCTCTCATTGAGCCAGACTAGAGGGCTTCTCTTACAGGATTCCCAATCCTCACCTTGGGACCAACTTCTGGGGTTGGGACTACTGAGGATCAAAAAGGGGAAACTCACTGCCAATTTAGTGGTGCTTCAAATTCTGGTCTTTCCCCCCAATCTACCTGCTATCATTTACTTTTGAGACTACTTAAGGGCCTGTTCCATGCATTCTGTCCAAGTTTTATAGCTTCATTCAGGGGGTAAGATATCTTCCCACAATAAGAACTTCCTACATTATAATATTTTAATTCTGCATCAGAGAGGACTTTTTGAAGACACTCTAAGTAACAACAGGATTCCAAGTAGAACTAAAACCAAACTAAAATTTAACTTAAGTGTGCTACAAGTACAAATAATTATGTGACAACAGAAGAGATATTTTCCAAACGTGGCTAAGTTTGTGAGGGCTCAACTTATGTTTCTGTTTGGTATTTAGCAGAGTTTTTTTTTTTAACCTTATTATTAGACAATCACTATTTTTGAATGTCAAAAGCCAAAAAATATACAGGGTGTCCCCCCAAAGTGTATATACACTTTAACCGCTGATAGCTCAATTTTGAAAATAAAATGTATTTTAATAAACACTGCCTTTATAATTATTCAAAGTGTGTGCACATATTTTGGGGAGACACCTTATATAATGGCTTTGAAGAGACGTTACTATTATTATTAGGTTTTTCATGCAAAAAGAAAATTAAAGTAGAAATAAAAAGGGTCAAGGAAAAGATCAAGATTTTCAAATAAATAAAAAGGCAGGAAAGAAGAAAGGCTTTTCCAGAAATAATAAACATCCTTGGCTTCATGTGATGGCAGTCTCCCCTGCTCACTCCACACCAGCCATGCTGGCCTTTGGCCTTTTCATTTCCTGCTCCTGCCAAGCTCTTTCCTGATTCATGCGTAATTTCTGACTAACTCCTACTCATCCTTTGAGTCATTTCCTCAAGGACATTTTATCTGCAGACT